TGTCCCTTGAAATACCTCTCCATGTCTTAAATAGTTTTTCCTTTTTTTTTTTTTTTTTGAGACGGAGGTCTTGCTCTGTCTCCCAGGCTGGAGTCCAGTGGCCGGATCTCCAGCTCACTGCAAGCTCCGCCTCCCGGGTTCATGCCACTCTCTCTGCCTCAGCCTCCGGGTAGCTGGGACTACAGAACCGCCGCCACCATCGCCGCTAGTTTTTTTGTATTTTTTAGTAGAGACGGGGTTTCACCGTGTCAGCCAAGGATGGTCTCCATCTTCTGACCTCGTGATCCACCCGTCCTCGGCTCCCAAAGTGCTGGGATTCACAGGCTTGAGCCACCCCGCCCGGCCTTAAATAAGTTTTTCTAACTTAACATTCAGTAAAACCATTGACTATTTTTACCTTGGAATTCTGTGTGTACATTATGCTGTCAGCTTTTCTGGACCCAAAAAGTGCTCTCAGATATCACCTCTGGTATACCAAAAAAAAAAAGTTGGGTATATTGCCTGAGCAGTTCCTTGTCCACCTACCATGTTTTGAGTAACAATCACCCAATCTAGAGGCCAAGAAACAGGTCCAAGTTTGGATAATACAGCCCCTCTTCACCCTGGAAGCTTGTCTGGAGGGACTAGGGTGGCTCAGAATGAGACTAAATACTCTCTTAAACACACCCACTCTCAGATCTTAGAGCACAATCCCCACCGCCAGAGTTAGCTGATCTATGAGGCTCCATGTGGGCACAAGTCTGATAGAAAACACCGTCACTTCTACACACCACTGACGAGGTTGGGGGGGCTCCCCAAACCACCCTCAGGTTCCAACAGTTCACTAGAGCCAGGCATTGGTGGCTCATGCCTATAATCCCAGCACCTTGGGAAGCTAAGGTGGGAAGATCACTTGAGGCAGGGAGTCCAAGACCCGCCTGGGAAAATACAGTGAGACCCAATCTCTACAAAAAAAAAAGCAAACAAAATCTGCCAAGTGCAGTGGTGTGGTGCAACCTGTAAATCCCAGCTGCTCGGGAAGGCTGAGGTGGGAGATTGCTTGAACCCAGGAAAGTCAAGGGCTGTAGTGAGCTGAGATTGTACCACTGCTCTCTAGCCTGGGTGAGAGTGAGACCCTGTCTTTAAAAAAAAAAAAATTCACTGAAAGTACCCACAGAATTCACTGAAAGATGTTATGCTTATGGTTACAGTTTATTACAAGGAAAGGATACAGATTGTCATCACTCAAGGAAAGAAGTACGTGGCCAGGCGCGGTGGCTCACGCCTGTAATCCCAACACTTTGGGAGGCCAAGGCGGGCAGATCACAAGGTCAGGAGTTCAAGACCATCCTGGCCAACACGGTGAAACCCCGTCTCTACTAAAAATACAAAAAATAGCTGGGCATGGGGTGGCTGTGCCATGATCCCAGCTACTCAGGGAGGGCTTAGGCAGGAGATCCCTTGAATCCGGGAGGCAGAGGTTGTGGTGGGCCCGAGATCTGGCACTGCAACTCCAGCCCTGGGCAACAGAGCAAGATCCGTTCAAAAAAAAAAGAGAAGTACGAGGCCAAGACGGGCGGATCGTGAAGGTCAGGAGATGGAGACCTATCCTGGCTAACATGGTGAAAACCCCGTCTCTAGTAAAAATACAAAAAAAATAGCCGGGCGTGGTGGCGGCGCCTGGTAGTCCCAGCTACTCGGAGGCTGAGGCAGGAGAAATGGCGTGAACCCGGGAGGCGGAGCTTGCCAGTGGAGCTGAGATCCGGCACTGCACCCCAGCCTGGGCCACAGAGCGAGAACTCCGTCTCAAAAAAAAAAGAAGTACATAAGTTGAAGGTCCAGGAGGGCTCCAGACACAGAGCTTCTGGTTCCCTTTCCCTGTGGAGTCAGGACTCATTACTCTGCTGTCTTTAGTGTGTGACACAGGCCCAACTATCGCCAACTAGAGAAGCTCACCTAAAGCTCTGATGTTGGAAAGTTTTTATTGGCCTTCAGCATGTAGAACATGACTGACCTGGTTGTGTTGATGGATTGTCCTACATGGTTAAGTCAGTTTTCCAGGTCAGCTGGTACCGGCATGACCGAAAGCTCCTACCCTGAATCACTTGATTAATATTTCTGGCGTAGCAAGCCCCCCATCAGAAACAAAGACATGCCTCTTAGATGTAATATTGATAACTTTCAGCACCAGAGGGCAAAGGCCAGACTACTTTTTGGACAAGTCCACATTCTTTACTACATCCCACGCCATCAGTCCGCGATAGGGAGCTGGCCAGAAATGAAGTCCTCCTGTTAAATTGTCTGGGCCTGTCTTTGAGCAAAAAAAAAAAAAGAAAAGTAAAAGCCTCCTCTGCTGCGTGCAGCTAGTTTCTGAGGTTTCATTGAGAGCTTGGTTTGGTTTGATCCATGATGCTCTTTTTTTTTTTTTGAGACAGAGTCTTGCTCTGTCGCCAGGCTGAGGTCAGTGGCGCAATCAGCTCACTGCAACCTCCGCCTCCCGGGTTCAAGCTATTCCCTGCCTCAGCCTCCCAAGTAGCTGGGACACAGGTGCGTGCCACCACATCTGGCTAATTTTGGTATTTTTAGTAGAGACAGGGTTTCACGTGTTAGCCAGGATGGTCTCGATCCCTGACCTCGTGATCCGCCCACCTCAGCCTCCCAAAGTGCTGGATTACAGGCGTGAGCCACCGCGCGCCAGCCTGATCCATGATACCTCTTCACCTTTCCCAGATATGTCCAGGTTATGTGTTTGTGTTGGAAGCCAAGACAGGAGCCAAAAGGTCATATACATATTACGTCCCGGGGAATATGGGACCCCGGTGTACCTGGTTTTAATCCTCTCTTTTTCTGCCCTAGCTCTAGCCTCTCAGAGTTGTGTCCTCTTCAGTGGAAACCCCAAGAAGACTGATCAGTTCTTCATTTCTAAAACAATGGCCCAGGTAAGTGTGTATTTCTCTTTCCTTCTTGAGCTATAAGATTTGCGTTTGGTGCATCTGCTTGTGAATTATCTGAAGCCTTTTATCTAGTCAAGCTCTTCATAATTACCTGTTTCCCAGTCTTCCTGTTCCAGTGAATGATAATGCCATATAGCTCCGCATTGCCTTTTGGGGAAATCACAGAGCACGTGATTCAGTATCTCCTATTTGCTCCCTTTTGGGGCCAGGGTAATGTTGGAGCAGTGAAGTAGCAAAGTCCATTGAGGGACATATTTAAGTCAAGTCCGTGGTTCGATGAGTTAGATATGTTGGTCCCATTTGACCACGTGAGAAACGAATCCTCCACTGAGCGTGCTTTCTGCGTAGATAAGAGGGGACGCTCATATTCACTGGTCTGTCTTAGTATGTGCTCAGATCCCAAGCTTGATGAGACTTTTGGAAGGGGTTGGGGCTGTGATTAGGACCTTTGAACAGAGGTCGTGTTCCTGCCGGGGAAGCTGAGGGGTAAATTTTATTATTGAATGGATCTCTCAGACCGCAAGATGATTCTAAATCATCTGACATCCTTATCCTCTAAATCAGGAACAGGGGGCCGGGCGCGGTGGCTCACGCCTGTAATCCCAGCACTTCGGGAGACCGAGGCAGGCGGATCACAGGGTCAGGAGATCGAGACCATCCTGGCTAACATGGTGAAACCCCGTCTCTACTAAAAATACAAAAAAAAAAAAAAAAAAAAATTCAGGAACAGGGGAAAGACTAGGTTGGGGATGGTAAGAAACATGAAGATCTTCCAGTGTGGAAGTAGGAGATGATCGCATACCCCAGAATTGGAGAAAGCCTTAGGTGTTTTGGTCAACCTAAGTGAATAACTATAATGAATAGTCTGACTTAATCTGTGTGGGAATTTTTTTAAATGCTTAAAAGGAAGACTGCTTAAAATGTAGTTTGGCATGATGAACCTGAGGCTTGAAAACATTCAAACATGCGAACCCTATTTTCTTTTTCTTTTCTTGGGATAGTGTTTCGCTCTTGTCGCCCAGGCTGGAGTGCAGTGGCACAATCTCGGCTCACCGCAACCTCCGCCTCCCGGGTTCAAGCAATTCTCCTGCCTCAGCCTCCTGAGTAGCTGGGATTACAGGCACTCACTGCCACGCCTGGCTAATTTTGTATTTTTAGTAGAGATGAGGTTTCTCCATGTTGGTCAGGCTGGTCTCGAACCCCCGACCTCAGGTGATCCACCTGCCCCGGCCTCCCAATGTGCTGGGATTACAGGCGTGAGCCACCACACCCGGCAAACCCTATTTTCTAAAATAAAAGATCTTAAACAAAAATCTTGATTTTTCTTCCCCCCTTAAAAGAAAAAATGCTGTAGGAATCCACACTTGTTGAGAACTTATAAGGCAGACATATAGCAGACACTGCTTGTCAACAAGAAGAAAGCTTGGATTGTTTTATCCACTTCCCGGCAGGTTCAACTAATTGAGGATTCTGCACAGTACAAGCCATTTTCTCTGCAGCAGCAGAGCTCTTCAGTGACATGCAGTCATTCTGCTTCCGTCACAGTTACGCTGATGTCCTTACCGCCCCCTGCCCATGTCACAGGTGTTCACCCTACCCAGAGGGGGCCTCTTGTCTCCTTCATCTGGAAGCTGTTTCCTTTCATTTCATCATGCATATGTGGGTTTCTGTTTCAGGGTTTGGTGACATTCGCCGACGTAGCCATAGACTTTTCTCAGGAGGAGTGGGCCTGCCTGAACTCTGCCCAGAGGGACCTGTACTGGGATGTGATGCTGGAGAACTACAGTAACTTGGTCTCACTGGGTGAGTTGCACACCTCAGATAACTTAGACTGCCTCCTGGAATATCCGCTGTCCACTGTGAATTTCAGGACCATCTTTCAAGAAACTAGTTGAATTTCTTCTTCCTGTTCCCAAGGAATGTATTGAGCCGTACTGGTGTGGCCATGAGCATCAGACACCTTCCCCTCCCATCCATTGGTCACCTTCCCAGCTTCATCGACTCCCCCTGTAATCATCTCTCTTCCTTAATGTCCGTGGAATGTGTTGGAATTCTGGGATGTTTATTTCATGACCATCTTCAAAGGAACCAGTTTTTCCTATGAGGTTATGTTTATACCCAAATTGCTATTGGTGGTCTGTGGTACTCTAGGGACCCACATCTAGGGAAAACATGTGGACACAGTGCCCTGAATTGTTCTAGTAAAGCAGCCTATATGTTTGAAGTAGAGTAGATTAGACAAACGGAGGCCGGGCGCAGTGGCTCAAGCCTGTACTCCCAGCACTTTGGGAGGCCGAGACTGGTGGATCACCGAGGCCTCAGGAGAGCCTCGGGAGCATCAGTTTTTGGTCTAATGCTATAAGTGTGGGATAACTCTCCGTCTTACTAAAAAATACAAAAAACTAGCCGGGCGAGGTGGCGGGCGCCTGTAGTCCCAGCTACTCGGGAGGCTGAGGCAGGAGAATGGCATAAACCCGGGAGGCGGAGCTTGCAGTGAGCTGAGATCGGGCCACTGCACTCCAGCCTGGGCGACAGAGCAAGACTCTGGTCCTCAAAAAAAAAAAAAAAAAAAAGACAAACAATTTGTATAAAACCAAAGTGGGCGTATTTCATGTCTTACGTATCATACCCGAAATGAGGTTGAAAGTTACAATCCCTGAACTTTGAGTTAAACATTGAATGACAATATCTTGTATACATCTCTGGAGACTTATTTTTCTTCTAGCAAAATAACAACAATGATATTGATAGCTAAGCCGTCTATGGTGACACTGCCTGTAATCCCAGCTACTCAGAAAACTGAGGCAGGAGGATCACTTGAGCCCAGGAGTTAAAGGCTATAGTTATACCACTGTACTCCAGGCTGGGTAACAGATCAAGACCCCATCGCTAAAACAATAAACAAACAAATAGGAATTTATATATGTTTTTTATATATACACACACACACATATATACACATTTTATATATATATATATATATATGCTTACTCTGTGCCATGTACTGTTCTAAGCACTGTGTGTGTAAGTACATTTCATTTGATTCTCACAAGCAGATGAGATAGGCACAATCATTGTCTATTTTGGAGATGAGGATACTGAGGCACAAAGTGGTGTGGTCAGACAGAGGAAGCAGGAGCTAGAATCACATCTAACAATTTTGGTCTCCAGGTTCCATCCTGCCAGCTGCCATGTCCCGCTTGCCTCCAGGCATAATGCCTACAGAAACTTAAAATAGGACCTTTTCTCGGCCAGGCGCGGTGGCTCACGCCTGTAATCCCCAGCACTTTGGGAGGCTGAGGTGGGTGGATCACTTGAGGTCAGGAGTTAGAGACCAGCCTGGCCAACATGGTAAAACCCTGTCTCTACTAAAAATATAAAAATTAGCCAGGCATGGTGGCACATGTCTGTAATCTCAGCTACTCCAGAGCCTGGTGCAGAAGAATCATTTGGACCTGGGAAGCAAAGGTTGCAGTGAGCCAAGATCGCGCTACTGTGCTGCAGCCTGGGCAACAGAACGAGACTCTGTCTCAAAAATAGTGAAAAATAAGGCCGGGTGCAGTGACTCACTCCTGTAATCACAACACTTTGGGAGGCCAAGGCGGACGGATCATAAGGATAGGAGTTCAAGACAGCCTGGCCAACATGGTGAAACCCCACCTCTACTGAAAATACAAAAATTTACCAGATGTGGTGGCACATGCCTGTATTTCCAGCTACTTGGGAGGCTGAGGCAGGAGAATCACTTGAACCCGGGAGGTAGAAATTGCGGTGAGCTGAGATCACGCCACTGCACTCCATCCTGGGCGACAGAGCAAGAATCTGTCTCAGAAAAATACATAACTAACTAAATAAATAAAATATGACCTTTTCCCTACCTATCTAGTTTCCTGTTTGTTCTTTATTCCTTTCTCTTTATAAAGTCTTTATTAATAGCGTTTCCTTTCCTTTTTTTTTTTTTTTTTAAGATGAGATTTTTTTTTCACTCTGTCACTCAGGCTGGAGTGCAGTGGCGCCATCATGGCTAACTGCAGCCTCAACCTCCTGGGCTCAAGCGATCCTCCTGCCTCATCTCCCTGAGTAGCAGGGACCACAGGTGCACATCACGACACCCGGCTAATTATTGTGTTTTTTTGTAGAGATGGGATTTCGCCATGTTGCCCAAGCCAATCTTGAACTCCTAGGCTAAAGCAACTCACCCACCTCAGCCTCCCAAAGAGGGTGGATTACAGACATGAGCCACTGCACCCGGCTCAATAGCATTTTGACTTCTGGTTGTTATAAATTTGATTAATAATCAAAAAATGTTTAAGGCCAGGCATGGTGGCTCACGCCTGTAATCCCAACACTTTGGGAGTCCGAGGTGGGCGGATCACCTAAAGTCAGGACTTCAAGACCATGGCCAACATGGTGAAAACCCGTCTCTACTAAAAATACAAAAATTAGCCGGTATGGTGCTGTGCGCCTGTAATCCCAGCTACCCAGGAGGCTGAGGCAGGAGAATCACTGGGACCTGGGAGGCAGAGGCTGCAGTGAGCCAAGATCATGCCACTGCAGTCCAGCCTGGGCAACAGAGCAAGTCTCAAAAAGCTGGGCATGGTGGCCGTGCCTGTAATCCCAGCTGCTTGGGAGGCTGAGGCAGGAGAACTGCTTGAACCCTGGAGGTGGAGGTTGCAATGAACCGAGATCACACCACTGCAGTCCAGCCTAGGTAACAGAGCAAGACTCCCTCTCAAAAAATAAAAATAAAAATAATTTTTAAAGAATTTTTAAAGTTTTGAGCTTGAAATTTTTCCTCAAGTTCTATGTCCTCTAGCATTTTGTTTTTTTAAAGGAGGGCATATCATTTCTAAGCCAGATGTACTGTCTTACAGAATTAAGGGAAAGAGCCTTGATGGTTGTGAGGGAAAAGACAAGACAACAATACCGAGGAAAGTGAGAGCCAGTTAGCCACCCGTACAAAGGGCATCCCCGCTGGGCAGGGAACAGGCACACCCTGAGGTGTTGGAGAAGCTTTCTCCAAAGGTTCAGGCCCAAAGCCTCTAGGAAAGAAAGATCTTAGCCAGGCGTGGTGGCTCATGTCTGTAATCCCAGCACTTTGGGAGGCCGAGGTGGGCGGATCAGGAGGTCAGGAGATCGAGACCATCCTGGCTAACACAGTGAAACCCCGTCTCTACTAAAAATACAAAAAATTAGCCGGGCATGTGGGGGCGCCTGTGGTCCCAGCTACTCGGGAGGCTGAGGCAGGAGAATGGCGGGAACCCGGGAGGCGGAGCTTGCAGTGAGCCGAGATCGCACCACTGCACTCCAGCCTGGGCGACAGAGCGAAAAAAAAAAAAAAAAGAACTTACCACGAACTTGATCTTCACCCCATTTCCCTGTCACCTTGTTTTTCCTGTCATATTTAACCCCATTTGATGTGCTGCTGGTGCTGCGGGTCTGTGGGCCACGCCTTTAGTAGCAGGGGTAGAGGTGACGTGATCCTCTGCCCTTCATCATTCCTGAAAGTGGGTTAGCCCCGCTTTAAGCACCCGTTTTCTTTTTCTTTTATCTAGGTGTTGGCAATACCGCTTCCTGGGTGCTGGTCATGTACCTCCACCATGAGGCACCTAGTATCTGGTTGTAGCTCTTTGCCGTTGGCGGTCATTGGCAGTGCTCACATTCGTTACACTGGGGCTCAAATGCTGCGCGCCTATCACTGCCCCTTCATTTATTAGCCTATAATTTAAAGAGAAACTTTGTTTCATCTGCTAATTGCTCATGCAGTGGCACTGTTCATATTGGATAACGAGGATAAAAACTTTGTTCTTTTCCTTTGTTGGTTTTTACGTTGTTTTTGTTTTTTGTTTTTTGTTTTTTTGAGACAGGGTCTTACTCTGTCACCCAGGCTGGAGTGCAGTAGTGCAGTCTGGGCTCACTGCAGCCTTGACTTCCCAGGCTCAAGCCATCCTCCCACCTCAGCCTCCCGAGGAGCTGGGACTGTAGGTGCACACCACCACGCCTGGCTAATTTTTATATATTTTTTTTTTTGTAGAGACAGGGTTTTGCTGCTTCCCCGGGTTTTGCTGTTTCCCAGACTGGTTTTGAACTCCTGAGCTTAAGTAATCCACCCGCCTCGGTCTCCCAAAGTGCTGGAATTACAGGCGTGAGCCACCGCACCTAGCCAATTGTCAGTTTTTATAATAGAGGATTGGTTTCCTAGCATGCTCCAAAGCTGGCCATTTAACATTTTGTAGTATCATTATGAACTCATAGATTTAAACGTTTGCTGTTTCTCAGTCCTTTGCAGTTAGCCTCCTTCTTGATGCTCAAGTTCTAAACTTTTTCTTATTATTGTTCTAAACTTTTTCACATTTTTAATTAAATGTAGTCTTGCAGATTATCTTTTTTGTTGCTTTTGAATGTTGTATTCTTTTACCCAGTTACTTTTTTTTTTTTTTTTTTTTTTTTTTAATTTTTTTTTTTTTTTCCCCTTTTTTTTTTTTTTTTTTTTTTTTTTTTTTTTTGAGACAGTCTCTCTCTGTTGGCTCACTGCAACCTCCACCTCCTGGGTTCAAGCAATTCTCCTGCCTCAGCTTCCCACATGCCACCATGCCTGGCTGATTTTTGTATTTTTAGTAGAGATGGGGTTTGTTTGTTTGTTGTTTTTTCTTTTGAGACGGAGTCTAGCTCTGTCACCCAGGCTGGAGTGCAGTGGCACAATCTCGGCTCACTACAACCTCCACCTCCCGGGTTCAAGTGACTCTCCTGCCTTACCCTTCCGAGTAGCTGGGATTACAGTCTCCCACCACCACGCCCAGCTAATTTTTGTATTTTTAGTAGAGACAAGGTTTCACCATGTTGGCCAGACTGGTCTCGAACTCCTGACTTTTTGATACGCCCACCTCGGCCTCCCAAAGTGCTGGGATTACAAGCGTGAGCCACCGCGCCCAGCCTGTTTTTTGTTTTTTTGTTTTTTTGTTTTTTGAGACAGAGTTTCATGCTTGTTGCCCAGGCTAGAGCGCAATAGCATGATCTCAGCTCACCGCAACCTCTGCTTCCCAGGTTCAAGCAATTTTCCTGCCTCAGCCTCCCAGGTAGCTGGGATTGCAGTCATGTGCCACCACACCTGGCTAATTTTGTATTTTTAGTAGAGACAAGGTTTCTCCATGTTGGTCAGGCTGGTCTCGGACTCCCAACCTCAGGCGATCCGCCTGCCTTGGCCTCCCAAAGTGCTGGGATTACAGGCGTGAGCCACCACTCCCAGCCCTTTACCCAGTTACTTTTAGTAATACTGCTGACATATATGTGTATCAGTTTCAGAATGCTTTACACACAGCTATCCAACTGCATATTGTTTTGTTACAGTACTTCTATATTTGATTTTCTTTGATTTTCCAAGTATATTATCACATCATCTACAAATACTTGTTTTCATCTTCAAAATAGGAAATAATAGGACTAATTGTGGGGACCTTTTTCATGTTTGACTTTAAAACAGATGTCTCCAAGGAATTCTCATTAAGTATTGTGCCAGAAATAGAATCTATATTTTAACAAGAGCCTTGGGTGATTCACATTTATTCTACTGGATAATTTTTATTTCTATTAGACAAGTTTTTGGTTTGTGGTTAGGTTTGTTTGTACTTGTGTCCCTCTAAAGGAAACAAACTATGTTCTTTTTTCCCAGATTTGGAGTCAGCATATGAGAATAAGAGTTTACCTACAGAAAAAAACATTCATGAACTAAGGGCTTCCAAAAGGAATTCAGATAGAAGAAGTAAATCCCTTGGCCGTAACTGGATATGCGAAGGTACGCTTGAAAGACCGCAGCGCTCGAGAGGGAGGTATGTCAATCAAATGATCATCAATTATGTAAAAAGGCCTGCTACTAGAGAAGGTACCCCTCCTAGACCACATCAGAGACATCATAAGGAGAATTCCTTTGAATGTAAGGAGTGTGGGAAGGCCTTTAGTCGTGGCTATCAACTTAGTCAACATCAGAAAATCCATACTGGCGAGAAACCTTACGAATGTAAAGAATGTAAGAAGGCCTTCCGTTGGGGCAATCAGCTTACTCAACATCAAAAAATTCATACTGGGGAGAAGCCGTACGAGTGTAAAGACTGTGGGAAGGCTTTTCGATGGGGTTCAAGCCTCGTTATTCATAAGAGAATTCATACTGGTGAAAAACCCTATGAATGTAAAGACTGTGGAAAGGCCTTTCGGCGTGGTGATGAGCTCACTCAGCACCAGAGATTCCACACTGGGGAGAAAGACTACGAATGCAAAGACTGTGGGAAGACCTTCAGCCGTGTGTATAAACTTATTCAGCACAAGAGAATTCATAGTGGGGAGAAGCCTTACGAGTGTAAAGACTGTGGGAAGGCCTTTATTTGTGGTTCAAGCCTCATTCAGCATAAAAGAATTCACACAGGTGAGAAACCCTACGAATGTCAAGAGTGCGGGAAGGCCTTCACTCGAGTCAATTACCTCACTCAGCATCAGAAGATCCACACCGGTGAGAAGCCTCACGAGTGTAAGGAATGCGGGAAGGCCTTTCGCTGGGGTTCGAGCCTCGTGAAGCACGAGAGGATACACACGGGCGAGAAGCCGTACAAATGCACAGAGTGCGGGAAGGCCTTCAACTGCGGCTACCACCTCACTCAGCACGAGAGAATCCACACGGGCGAGACCCCGTACAAATGTAAGGAGTGTGGGAAGGCTTTCATTTATGGGTCCAGCCTTGTGAAACACGAGAGAATTCATACCGGGGTGAAACCCTACGGGTGTACAGAATGTGGGAAGAGCTTTAGTCACGGCCATCAGCTTACACAACATCAGAAAACGCACAGCGGGCCGAAATCCTACGAATGTAAGGAATGCGGGAAGGCATGTACCCACCCAAACCATCTCCGAGAACATCAGAGGATCCACAACAGTTGAAGAGCCTCTTGAACACCGTAGCCCGCTCGTATCTGTGGTTTCGCTTTCCACAGTTGGTTATCTGCAGTCCACTGCAGTTCAAAAATATTAAATGGAAAATTCCAGAAATAACGAATGCGTTGGTGTGCCCTTCCGAGTAGCGTGATGAAATCTCTCTGTCCGGCTCCAACCGGCCAGGGCTGTGAATCGTCCCTTGGTCCAGCACAATCACGCTGTCTACGCTACCCACCCTGCTCGTCACTTAGTAGCCGTCTTGGTGATCAGACTGACTGTCATAGCATCACAGTGCTTGTGCTCAAGCAGTCCCTGCTTTGCTTAACAGCAGCCCCAGAGCAAGAGTAGTGATGCCAGTGATTCGGATATGCCAAAGAGAAGCCACAAAGTGCTTCCTTTTAGGTGACATGGTGAAAGTTCTCAATAAGGAAAAAGAAAAAAAAATCATATACTGAGGTTGCTAAGATCTACATGACAATAAGATATTTTGGGAGAGAGAGATACCTACGTTCATGTAATTTTATGACAGTATATTGTTACAATTGTTCTATTTTGTTAGTTATTGTTGGTAATCTCTTACTGTGCCTAATTTATAAATCAAACTTTAGATACGTATGTACAGGAAAAAATGTAGTATATAGTATCGTATATATGTACAAGAAAAAAACAGAGTACTATCTGTGGTTTCAGGTATCCACTGGGGGTCTTGGAACGTATTCCCCTCAGGTGAGAGGGGACTGCTGTACAAAGAATGTAGGAAGGCCTCTAGACTACATCCATTCCTTCCTCAACACGAGGAAAAATCATGGTACAGTTTAACATAAGAAAGCCTTCACTGATCACTGTTTTTTTATTTTATTTTATTTTATTTTGGAGACAGAGTCTCACTCTTGCCCAGGCTGGAGTGCACCACCACGCCTGGCTAATTTTTGTATTTTCAGTAGAGACAGGTTTCACCATGTTGTCCACGCTGGTCTTGAACTCCTGACCTCAGGTGATCCACCTGCCTTGCCCTCCCAAAGTGCTAGGATTACAGGCGTGAGCCACTGCATCCAGCCCACTGATCACTCTTCTGCTTACAGAATATCAGAAGTCATTCTAGAGGCAAATTTGAATTGTGGAAAAATCACTTTTTCTTAATGATTGTGTTTTTGGTGTAGACGTTTTTATTGTGTAGGTTAGTTTAATGAATACATAAAGACTACCAATACCATTCTGTCTTTATTCCGTGGCATCTGTGGAATAACCCTGCTAATGTAACATGTGAAAAAGCCTTTAGTCATGGCACCCACTCTCTCAGTTGTCCCCACCATCCCCCGCCCTCCTCCCTGTGAGACACTGGGCCAAAGGCTCACTACCCCTGTGCGTTGTCCGGCACACAGACACTATTGTGCATTATTTGTACATAAGGATAGTCACATCTACCTGAGACCGCTATTGTGGAAATTAAATGTTTGGTACATGTAAAGTCTTTGAAAGTGTAACTGGAATATTGTATAAGTTCAATAAATATTAACTGTTGTTTTTATGATCATTACTACCATTTGTGTTGCCATTCGTGAATTTTTACAAGAAAACCCCCTGTGGGTGCAATGAGTCTGGAAAAGACCATTGAGTCTTCTAGAAGAAAACATTAAGAGATTATTGTCACAACCGTGGGTTATGCAATGATTTCTTAGTACACAAAACACAGCAAACATAAAAAGTCGTTACACTTCATCGAAAGTACAAAGTTCTGTTCATCAAATGATGCTGTTAAGATAGAGGAAAGACAAGAAACAGGACTGGAAGAAGGTATTTGCTCTACAGTACACCTGACAAAGGAACTCTCATAGAAAATATAAAGAATCCCTCAAGTTGAAAAAAAAAAATCAATTTAAAGGGGAGAAAACTTAAGCACGTCTCAACAGAAAATCACCAAATGGCCAATAAGTAAGTGAAAGTGTATTCAATGTCATTGCTCCTCAAGGAACTGTAGAGTAAAACTACAATGTGCCGTCACTGTAGACAGTCACCAGGATGATTAGATTAAAATCACAGTAACAAGGTCGGTTTCTGATGTCTCACCACAAAGAAGGAGGATAAGGGAGTAAGGTGATGGATGTTAATTAGCTTGATTTAATCATTCCACATTGTATACATGTATCGGAACGTCACCTTGTACTCCCATCAATATAATGCAATTATTATTTGTCAAATATTAATAAAGAAAATCAAAGATGAGCAGGTCTCTTGGTTGGATATTGAAACACGACCTATTCAAGAAGGAACCCCGCCAGCAGACTGCACCTCTGCCAAATCCTGGCGGTGCCCCACAGCAGGGACAGGGCGGGAGGGAGGTGAGCGGACTGGTCCTGGGGAAGGGGTGAGGGTCCAGAGTAGAGTTGTTACAGGAAAGGGGTGCCAGTCCAGGCTCCAGGAGAGAGTTCTCGGATCTCACACAAGAAAGAATTCAGCGGCCGGGCGCGGTGGCTCACGCCTGTAATCCCAGCACTTTGGGAGGCCGAGGCAGGCAGATCACGAGGTCAGGAGATCGAGACCATCCTGGCTAACACGGTGAAACCCCGTCTCTACTAAAAATACAAAAAAATTAGCCGGGCGAGTTGCTGGGCGCCTGTAGTCCCAGCTACTCCAGAGGCTGAGGCAGGAGAATGGCGTGAACCCGGGAAGCGGAGCTTGCAGCGAGCCGAGATCGTGCCACTGCACTTCAGCCTGTGGGACAGAGCCAGACTCCGTCTCAAAAAAAAAAAAAAAAGAATTCAGGACAAGTCCTCAGTGTAAGGCAAAAGCAAGTTTATTAAGAAAGTAAAGTGGTAGGGCCAGGTGCGGTGGCTCACGCCTGTAATCCCAGCACTTTGGGAGGCCGAGGCGGGTAGATCACCTGAAGTCACCAGCCTGGCCAACATGGCAAAACCCCATCTCTACTATAAATACAAAATTAGCCAGGTGTGTTGGCTCACACCTGTAGTCCCAGCTACTTGGGAGGCTGAGGCAGGAGAATCACTTGAACCCAGAAGGCAGAGGTTGCAGTGAGCTGAGATCACGCCACTGCACTCCAGCCTGGTGACAGAGGGAGACTCCATCTCAAAAACAGAAAAGAAGAAGTGGTGAAAGAACAGCTGCTCCATAGACAGTGTAGGACACTCCTGAAACTGGGAGGAACACATCCACCCTAGGTCCAATGCGCACATATATGGGGAGATGTGCTCTGCTACGAGGGTTTGTGATAAAAGATTCCTTTTTTTTTTTCATTATTTTGCAAGAACTGATATTATCTTTAAAGCAAAACTAGGAATGCCTTTGTTCTCCAGAGATCAGGATATCTGAACACGCCCACGTCTGGGTCTGTTCAGTAACCATTCTTAATTTGTCCCTTAACCATAAACATCCAGAGGCTCAGAACGCAGCCCAGCAAGTCTCAGCCTCATTTTCCTAACCCACACTCAAAATGGAGTCACTCTGGTTCAAACACCTCTGACAGAGTCCTGGGGGGAGGTGAGGACACAGACTCAGGGGAGAGACCTGAACTATCTTAAGATGGTCCTAGATTGAGGGTAGGATTATCTTAGGGAAAGGACCAGAGCCCATAGTAGGAATCGGAGAATATAGGCTGGGGAGGACTCTAGACCCCATAGGAGTGAGTTTGAGGGGGCAGAGGAGTGGCTAATGGGCATGGGAGGGCCTGGCGCGTGGGAAGGGACGGTTAGAGCTCGGGGATGAATTCTGGGAGAGAAGGGATAGAGTCCTGGAGAGAGGCCTTAGGACTAGGAGAGGACTGGAGTGCTCCTGAGAGCAGCTGCGGAGATGGAGGGCAGACGCTACCTCCTGCAGGAGAACCTTAGGCACAGGGGATGGTGGTGTGGTTAGAGCTCAGGGGTGTCCTATAAAGGTTGGCAAAGGATGCAGAATATAGGGTTAAAGTCCTGCTTGTTTGATTTACCTCAGGGGTAGGGTTACATTTCAATCAAAGCTGCTTAGTTCTCGGATTCCAAATACCTCAGCATTAGGTTAAGGATTCAGATGCTCCAGGGGTGGTGGGGAAGTGAGGGAGCATGTTCAGGGGAAGGGGTTCCAGACCCAGGTTTCAGAGCTGGGTATCTTTCTGGTCTAGGCTTCAGTACCCTTAGGAATCAACCTCATACACGGCATCATCCTGCTTAGTGCCCCTTTCCCCTGTGGACCCTACGCCAGCATCAGCAGAAGGGGCCCAGGGTCCCCTCCTTGCCACCAAGAGCAACACGGATGGTGGGGTCACTGCCCTTCCCGGCATTCCCGTGTAAACAGAGGAGGAGCTGGGTGGGGTAGGAAGAGAAGAGCAAGGGACGGAGTATGAAGAGGAGAAGCAGGTGGAAGATAGTGACAGGAAGCTGGAGGGATGTGGGGGTGGGGGTGGGGAGAATACTGAGAAACAAGGAGACTGTGCAGAAAGGCAGCACTGGCCTGGCCATAGGGGATGCAGCCAAGGCACAGGAAGACAGCCCGGGAGGACAGGGTTAGTTCACAGAAGGAAACGTGGGAAGAATGTGTGTCAGGCAGGACTCTTGGTTCAAGGAGCAAAATCCAAAGTCTACATAAAAAGCCCAGAGGTGGGCCGACGCGGTGCCTCACGCCTGTAATCCCAGCACTTTGGGAGGCCGAGGGGAGTGGATCACTTGAGGTCCGGAGTTTGAGACCAGCCTGACCAACATAGTGAAAATCTGTCTCTACTAAAAATGCAAAAATCAGCCTGGCACGATGGTGCACGCCTGCAACCTCAGCTACTCAGGAAGCTGAGGCAGGAGAATTGCTTAAACTGGGGAGGTGGAAGTTGCAGTGAGCTGAGATCAAGCCAGTGCACTTTTCTGAGACAAAGCAAGACTGTCTCCAAAAAAAGAAGCCCAGAGGTGGCCAGGTGCAGTGGCCCATGCCTGTAATCCCAGCACTTTGGGAGGCCTATGCAGGCAGATCGACTGAGGTCAGTAGTTAAAGACCAGCCTGGTCAACTTAGTGAAACCCTGTCTCTACTAAAATACAAAAAGTAGCTGGGTGTAGTGGCCCATGCCTGTAATCCCAGCTACTCAGCAGGCTGAAGCAGGAGAATCGCTTGAACTCAGGAGGCAGAGGTTACGGTGAGCTGAGAGTGAACCACTTCACTCCAGCCTGGGTGACAGAGCAAGACTCTCAAAAAAACAAACAAACAAACGAAAAACTACAAAAAGCAGTAAGAGCCATGGGGCAAGGGGTGACCATGAAGTCAAAGTGCTTTACTAAAGTAAGTCATTATTGAGCCAGGTGTGGTGGCTCACACCTGTAATCCCAGCACTTTGGGAGGCCGAGGCAGGTGGATCACCTGAGATCAGGAGTTCAAGATCAGCCAGACCAACATGGGGAAACCCCATCTCTATTAAAAATACAAAATTCGCTGGGTGTGGTGGCAGATGCCTGTAATCCCAGCTATTCAGGAG